TTCAAACACCAGGATCCCATATGGGCACCAGTTCGTGTCCCAGCTGCTCCACTTCCAGTCCAGCTCCCAGTCTGTGGCCTGGGAAATCAGTGGAGGATGGCTCAAAGCCTTGGGACCCTGCACCTGCACGGGAGACCTGGAAGAGGTTTCTGGCTCTTGGCTTCAGAGCAGCTCAACTCCGGAAGTGAACCAGTGGATGGAAGATCTTTATCTCTCATTCTCTGTATAAATCTGCCTTTCCAGTAAAAATAAATAAATCTTTAAGAAAAAAAAAATACCTAGGGTAGCAGATGCAAACTGAATTCTGGCCCATCTGTGCCTAGGACCTTGTGCAAGCTCTTACACTTTCTGAATCACAGTTGTTTTTTTCTCAAACACAATTAACAAGATAAACAAGAATGTTTTAAAATGCAACTGTATGTAGCAAAATATTGGAAGACTATATATCAAAATAGTAACAAAATCAGCCATTGGAGGTAAGCTTGTTAGAAGGATTTCCGATTTTTGTGTTATTTTTAGATTTTTATGATCAACCCAACAAGGGGTGACGTCATTTAAGAGTCCAGCCGGTAGCTCTGACCCTACCTTCTCTAGGCAAGCCTTCCAGACACTTGTAGACCGTTATCCTGTTCCTGTCTCCTATTTCCTGTTAAATATTTCAGCTCAGTGAATGTCACCCTTATCTGACTTGATTTCAAGGCTTTGTTTTGTCCTTCCTCTCTCCCTGCAAATGCTCCATCTGTTAAAACCCTACCCTGCATGTTGTAGAACCCGCTTGCTCATTCCTTTGTTAATTCATTCACCGAACAAACACTGATGAACAACCTACTCCCCACAGACATGGTTTGCTTCCGCAAACCCACCAGGAACAAATAGCCCTGGATTTCCTGGTTGAATAAAGACCTTCTCAACTCTTGTGCGCCAGCAGGTGCAGATTCCAGCCCAGCTTCTTCAAGCGGCAGGTGTCTGATGTAGGATGGCCAACCAGGGCCTCCTATTCACCTCACCATTGAGACTGGCTTACAGATACGCCTGTCAGAGATGCTGAGACTCAATTCTGAAACCACTGGAGAAACAGCCTCCCCCGTCCCTCCACTTCTCCAGAACTACTAGAACTGCTGGCAGTCACCTTGCACTGTCATCTGAAAAGAAACGGTAGTCAGTCTTGAGGGACAAACTCAACCCTGCTTAAACCTTGGATCCCTAGGATTTTCAGATCACACCAAGCAGAAAATCCCTTTTCTGTAGAACTGGGGCTATGTCTGGAGGTGGGAAGAGTCCTGGCTGCTGGCATGCAAAATGCTGGGACATGTGCTGTGCGAGGATGCAGCAAGCTACCCCGTGCCATCTTGCCAGGCACCCGCATCAGATATAGTGATAGCCACAAACCACCACAATCTGGTAAGGCCAGTAAAATAATCTCTTTAATTAAACACTCTACAATGCAACCTAAGCCATCCGGGAAGGGGAGCAATGCAACAGCACAGAAACCTTCTCTACTCAGACACCAAAGATAGAATTACTGTTCAGGGAAGCCGAGCAGCACGGTTGATTCATGTTCCTCTTATGGAAAAACTACGTCCCACATTGCAAATAGAGGCAAGGAAACTTAGCTGAACACAGCTCTCTGGGCCCACAAAATACCATCCTCAGGGCCCAGTGCAGTGCCAAGGTTGAACAACCCTTACCTTCAAGAACATCATCTCAATGGTACGGCTGATAAGACACTGAAATAACAGGTCAGTTTCAGGGATCGTAATTCTGTAAGTTTCCATTTTCACTTCAGTCTTCCTGCTAGGTGGATGACTGTGTATTCAATTCTAACAGCATCATAATAACAGCCTTTTCAAGGTGAATAAACTACTTCTGAATTGATTTCTAAATGATGATAAGAAAGAGGGAAGACAGGGAGCCACTGGTCCTATAAAACATTTCATCACGTGGCTGGCCACAGAAAATAACAACAGGAGCGATAAAAAGCACCCCTGGGAACATCTATTTCACTAAGGAAGTCCCTCAAGGTTGCTCTTTTACAGGGAACACAAGCTAGTGTCTCTTGAGCGTGCCTGATGCACACTCAACAGCAGGAACTGTGAAGCTACATCAGAAGAGGTGGACACCACGGGATGGATTCTTTCTTGCCCTGTTTCTAAAGAACACACACAATCCAAGAAACAGCCCCAACTTCACAAAGAATCCTATTGTTGGGCAAATTCACACACACAGAATCCTCCCACGTGGTCTCAAGGGAGGTGCCAGGGATTAGCGGCAGGAGGGAGAACGGCTTGAGATGCCTTCCAGACACCTTGGGATCGCTCAGCGGCAGCAGGGCAGCCACTGTGAATTCACTTCCCCTGCCTGTACACAGCAGCACCCTACACAACCCGCAGAGCTTCTCATCTGCCCCCCCGCTTCCTGGGCAGCAGCCTGCAGTGTCATGCAAGTGTGAGAAGCAACCCAGCTCACGCAAGCCAAATGCTCAATACATGCTGGGTTCCCTCTAGGGGTGAGCAACCCCACTGCACAGTGACTGCCTCTGAAAATGGGAGGTACGCACACGTCCAAGATTCTCCAAGAAAAGGTCTTCTTACCTAATCCTGTGTTTAATGAAAAAAAGTAATGCACGCTTATGTTTAACTCTCCAAAAAATGATAAAAAAAAATATAAAACACAGGACCTACGGTATCCTCCATCCTCCCCCAAATTATATTGTACATCTCAAATGGTATACAATATTCTCCAAAACTTCTTGTTTCTAGTATCTTTCCAGCAATGACCTAGCCATAATCAAGAAAATACAAGAGCACATATGGTCCCCTCTTCTCCATACATGACAGCATACCTCATGTACTTTTTCTACATTTGGCTTTTTAAACTTAATTCTTAGTACAAATGACCTATCATTTTAAACAGGGGCACAGCATCCTGCTCCAAGGTACACCTGTACATTCAATCAATTTCCTACTGACACACATTTAAGTTGCTTACACATCGCAATCAACGTCACTATGAACCTGTATTGAGAGCATTTTCACATATATGTGTAATTACGGGAAAGACAGATCTGTAAGATAAAATCATTGCAGTGAAAATGGAAATGTAGAATCTGGGATACACGCACTTAAACTATCGCCTGACCCCTGAACTGTCTGGCTGACTGGGCCCTACACTGCCCTTCAGATAGGTGGCAGGAAATTCTACTCCCAGCAACTCTGCCTCGAGGGCACCTGTTTCTCTGCCCACACTCACAGAAGGCTGGAGTGCTGTGCTTGGCTTTTAAGCACAGGAGAAGAAAGGACAGACTCTTCTTGTCTCACTGTCTCTTCCTGCCTCTGCGATAGCACACATGACACGACTGCTTCCTGAACATTCCACCCCTGGACGCACAGCCAGGTGTGAGTTTAAAAGAGAACGGCTGCCTGAACCCACAACATATCAGAGCTGGCTCAGACTGGCTCACGAGACCGCTGTGCTAATCCTTTCCCAACTCCGAGTTCAGTGACGTCATGCAGGCGGGTCAACTTTAGTCATGGTAAAAGTATTTACATCACAGGATTCAGCAAACACAGCAAGAGTCTCCTTCCTTTGCCCAGCGAGACATCTGTTAACATCTGTAGCCATGGTGAAAACGGAAACTCTGCCGTCCTTTAAATCGTGTATCCCTGATGCTGCTCTGATCACACATTCTCAGACCGTTAAGGATGTGGGGAGAGCTCAAAGAGCTTCCAGGCCTCACCATCTTCTGCCCATCCCTCAGTCGCTCTTTACATACGCAAGGAGCATACTCTAAGTCTCTTCCCCATTCGTTCATAGTTCCATCTTTTCATCAGTTGTTGCTAATTTTTGATGATTTCCCATAGTGACTGCAAGCTCAAAATCTAGGTCACACTAGACAGTCTGGGGACAAATCCATCCAGCTCCATCATTGACCAACCATATGATGTTCAGCAAGTGGCTTAAGCCACTATAAAGGTACTAATAAAGTCTGAATACCTTCATTGAGAGGATTAAATGAGTTAATACTACTCCAGTACACAGAACTGTCTCGCACATACCATGCACTTAGCAGATGTCACTACTGGCTTCCACTTGATCAATTCTCTCTTTAGCCATGTCCCTTACATTTTAAAGACTAGTTTTTTTTTCACTTGGCTGGCTGCTTTTCAAATCACCTGCCTTCATTTTCTTTACATTTTAATATCTTTAATTCTTACTCATGTTAAATATACTACTGTGTGTTCTTTTGAGATGGTTTCCTGAATCTGTGGTGGACAGTTGAAAATACCTATAAAGTAAGTTTATTTTTGTGATAGGAATTTCTAGGAAACAAGACAGGTTTTATACTCATATTTTAGGCTGAAGAATCTCATATATCATAGGTTAATAAAAATATAGATTCTGGGCCCAGCATGGTAGCCTAGCAGCTAAAGTCCTTGGCTTGCACACGCCCCGGGATCCCATATGGGTGCCAGGTCTAATGCTGCCAGCCCTGCTTCCCATCCAGCTCCCTGTTTGTGGCCTGGGAAAGCAGTCAAGGACAGACCAAAGCCTTGGGACCCTGCACCTGCATGGGAGACCCGGAAGAAGTTCCTGGCCCCTGGCTCCGGATCGGCTCAGCTCCAGCCATAGTGGCTGCTTGGGTAGTAAATCAATGAATCCTCTCTGTCTGAATATCTGACTTTCCAACAAAAATAAATAAATCTTTTTAAAAATACAGATTCTAACATTACCTATGGTGCAAACTCAGGTTTTTACTGTCCTGCTGAGAGCCCACCGCTGCGTATTTCTCTAGGCAGCGGGGCGTGTACAGCTCTTTTCATAACGGAGCTCCTGGCTTCAGATCAGTGAAGCTCTGGCCATGCCGGCCATCTGGTGAGTGAACCAGCAGACGGAAGATCTTTCTCTCTGTCTCTCCTTCTCTGTAAACCTGTCTTTCAAATAAAAATCAATCAATCCTTAAGGGGGAAAAAAACCCACAACTGTTTAGCTTCAATTTCTCCATTTGTTTACACATATTTCCCTTGAGTTCCACTAGACAAGTGTACATTTTAGCCAAGTCTACACTCCAACAAGAGAAGACATACGAAAATCAGCTTAGTTCCACCACTTCACTAGAAGTATTCCATGTCATCAGCTCTAACTACTTACCCGGGCTTGAGTAATATCCATATGAAAACAACCCAGGGGGGCAGACTTTTTTACCTAATGGTTAAAACAGTGGTTAAGATAGCCACGCACCACATCAAAGCACTGGGTTCAATACCTGGCTCCGGTGTCTGACTCCAGCCTCCTACTAACGCACAAGCTGCAGAACAGCTGCTGCTGATTCAGCAGCTACGTTCCTGCCAGCTGGGACTGATGCCCAGCCCCCAGCTGCAGGCTCACCCAGTCCGGGCCAATGCAGGTATTTATGGACTAAACTACCAGTTGAGAGTTTCCCATCTTTCTGTCTCATTCTGTCTCTAAAATGAATTTTTTAAAAATTCTGTATTTTAAAATTTAACTTTTAAAGTCAGCACATAGTATGGAAATTGAAGACTCAAAATTCCCCTTGCAAATCCCACAAAGGTCTCGCAGTAGACTGACGAACCATCTCTCATACTGTCCACCACAAGCAGATTTTCCTTCAGCACTAGAGGTAGGATCTGAGGTTAAAGACCACTTGTAATAGCTGGCTTGGACTTAGAGGCCACATGGTGTGACAATTAAGACCTATAAATATGAGACAGACACTCTTGACACAATACCAAGCCACAGGGACAAAGACCAAGTGAGGAAATAGCACATCCCTGCCTCGCAGTCACACTCATTCCAGAAGCGACTCCCACTGGGCAGAGTGACAGAAGCACTCTTCTGTCTTGGCAAGGATGCTGCACCTGCATGAGTGAGAAGCCTGAGTCTGGATGACAGCAGTCAGAACGGTGCCTACCTCTGGGGCAACACCAACTGCAAGGGGGCAGGAGGGCACTTCCTATAAGAATGGAAAAACTGATTTTCCACACTCAGGGGGTGGTTGGATGAGTGGAAGCTATTAAACATTCGTCAACCTGTGCCATTAAGATCTATGCATTTTACAACACGCACAGCTGGATTTGAACAAAAGTTCAAAGCACGCCTAAGGAAAGAGGCTACACGGCATGCTACTAAGGATCCTGCTGCATGGTGAAGCCTTGCACGAGGCTGACCATTCAAACTGTGGCCCGTGAGGAGACCAGCAAACTGAGGAGACGCAGCAGCAGCACAGGGGGAGGCACTGCTGCTGGCAGAGGGGACCCAGACCCACAGCGCTAGCGGAGCTCCACGGGGGCTCGGGAGTGACACGAGGACCGGTGCGAGGAGCACTGGGGCTCTCACCCATACTGCCCGCCGTGAATACTGACTGCACCTCTTACGAACCGTGCGGCCTTGGCAAGTTCCTTCTCCTCTTTGAACCTCAGCTTCCCAAGACTGTTGGGAAACTCAAGTGAATCCAAGTAACACACTTAGGGCAAGAATGCATACAGGAAGGATTCGATAAATTTTAGCAATTACTATGGAGGACAGGAGGCTGTAGTATCTTTTCCCCTCCAAAATGATGGTTCTTAATGAAATTAATTAATGGACCTGCTAACCCTGTGGTTCTCACTAGGCATTCATGGAGCAGATGAAAGAACACAAATTCATTCTGACTTCAACAGAGGCAGAGAACTGAAACCTGCCTCATGGCCATCACCAACCACTTTCATTTTGCCTCATTCTGAGAAGGCTAAGAACTCAGGCTCAACCAGACAGCCACGGTCAAATCCCAGCTCTGTGACTTACCAACTTGGGAACCCTGTAGAAATGATTCAAATGCCACGTCTCAGTTTCTTTTCCTGTAAAAGAATGACATCAAAGATGAAGCAGTTTGCCACAGTCTTTGGCACAGAGAAAGCCTCCCTCCACCCTCAACCTCAGCTAAAGCTGGCCACTTTTCCCAGACCAGACACTGGGGCTAGGAATCACGGCTTTCCAATTTGTGCAGATCATTGTAATGTCTAAAGGAGCACATTCTTGCTCAGTTAATGCTTACAACGCTCTCCAGCATTATAAATAAAAAGTGCAGCTGCATGGAACTGAAGTAACCTGCTGAAGGTTGCACAGCAAGCAAAAAGCAGAGACCCAAACGAAGCACCTCCGACCGAAGCGGAGTTTGGCCAGACGGCGCTGTCCGAGGGACAGAGGGTATGGTCGGGCTGTCTGATGCTGGGTCTCCCGGTGCAGCAGCAACAGCTGTCGGTCCTTCCAAAACAATGAGCCCAAGCAGAGTTTTAACTGGTTTTAGTCCGTCATACTGCACCCAAATCACTTCCTGTTTCAAGTTTCTGCTTTGCAGAGCGAGCGAAACAAACACGCACGTACGTCACAGCAGCCTCCTCACCCTCAACACATCTCTCCCAACAACAGGGCTTACGAAGCAATGTTTCCATAAAACCCTCATTGAGCAACGCTGCGTGTTTTAAGGCATTCACGGTGAAGAACGCAGCCGAGCCTGCAGCATCCAGCCGCCCTCATCAGGGCAGGGAGAGGAGTAGAATGAATTTTGTCTGGCTTTTATTTTGCTTAAACCTTTAGCTGTGTTAGTTTTTTTCTTTGTTTTTCTGGACACTCGTGGAAGACTTGGGGGCTACATCTCAGGGTGGCAAAGAGCATACGTCAGCACTTTCCACCACTTCCGCTGCACAGTTAGCATAAGTGTGCAGTATGTTCCCTTTGAAACCAAAGTCACAGACCCACTTAGCGGCCAAGGACACAGGAAGTTAGTTTAAGGAGCACCTCCTGGCGCGCATTCATAAACTATGTCTTCAGGTAATGTGCGCATATGCACACACACGCACCATATATACCACACGTGTGCATACCAGGGGCACACAACTGCACACATACCACACCCCACACACACAGGCACGCCACACACAACAGCCTACACTATACATACCACAGCCATCATACATACCACACGTGCACACAACAGACATGCACAGACTCACGACTACAGCACTTCTGAATCCTCTTGCAAGGATGTTGTCTTTCTCTCTCCCTCATTCTTCGACCAGGTTTACAGAACAGAAAATGGGGACAAGCTGTTCATTCGGGGAAAGTGTTAGGGCTGTGGGCCAAATCCTAGAATTTAGCAAAGCATGCTAACTCACTCTCGCAACACCTGCACAGATGGCCTGGGATGGACCATGGCCCTTATAAAAGTAAAGTGGACAGTGTGAAACCCAAGAAAGCTGCTTTTCTCTTCCAAGATACGAGCAGAGGTCCTGGATGAAAGCTCGGCAACCAGACCTCGCCTCCCCTCTGGGTCTCACACCATGGGCTTCATTCACTCCCCTCTCTCCTGCTCAGAGCTGTCGGATACCAGGGGAGTCGCTCTGTTTCTCTGAGCCCCGCAGCCTCCTACACTGAGGACAAGCATTCATTCAGGAGTCAGCCACTGAGCACCTGCTCAATTCTCTAATAGCTGTCTAGCCACCTGGGTGCACACACATGTAATGTCAGCAATGACAGCAGGAGAAGTCACAGTTACAGAACTGGATCCCCAGGAGGTTGGACAGGTGTAAGGCAATCCCAGAAAGGAATGTCCACTGACCCCAGTGGGGTGAACAGTGACAGACGATGCGACCAAGGCTTCCATGAGTGTCCTACGAGTGCTGAAGGCGACACGCTAAGTCAGTAAGCGGCACACACAAAGGCTGGCGGGCTACACTGCAGGTTCACCTGGTCAACAGCCAGGATATGTAGCAGGGTACCTCTGCCAAGGTAACCAAGTCCCTCCCACTCCTCTGGGGTGGGGTCTTCTGCAAGCCCAGCTCCTTTTCTTGTCTAACAGTCCTTTCTCAGCACACCTGCTCCAGGGCACAGGAGGTGTCCCCACCATTCCACAAGGCCTCCCTCTCTGCTTCCCTCCCTTTCTCCCGGGACTGCCAGGACAGTGATGCAGAGGGAAGGGGAGGGCAGAGCAGCTAGCCTCTGTCTGTCACTTGTTTCTGAAACGCACAGGGCTCCACTGCGCCATCAGCCTTTGGAATCTGCCCCTCCTCTTCCACACAGCCAGAGAAATGCTGGGGTTGCCTGCATCACGACCCACCTTTTTGTGACTCTAAGCTATACAAGCAGACCCAAACAGACTACCGCTCTGCAAACAAACACCTGCCCAGGGTCCCTCCCGAAACAGCTGTGTCAGGGGGGCAGACTCAGGGCTCTGTGAAGCCCCCTGCTCAGAGACCACCGAAACTGGGCAGCTGCAGAAGGCAGGACGCCATCCCTGCTTGGCCCTGCAGGACAGCCTCACCTGAGGCAGGTGTGACAATATCTCTTAACCTTGCACATGAACACCAGGCAACCACAAACACCCCTGGACTAATGACTACTCATATGGCCTAAGGATGCTGAAGTTTTTTTCAAGACTCTTGACAAACGCGAAACATAGCAAGGGCAAGACGTTGCTTCAATGGAAGGCTAGGGCCGGCACTGTGTCACAGCACGTGAAGTCTCTACCTACAATGTCAGCATCGTTCAGGAACCAGCTGCCCTACTTCTGATGTGGCTCCCTGCTAACACACCTGGAAAAGCAGTGGACGGCGGCCCAAATACTTAGGCCCTGCATCCATGCGGCAGACCTGGAGGAAGCTCCTAGCTCCTGCCTTCCACCTGGCACAGTCCAGGCAAATTAAACATATAAGAAAAAAAAAAACAAAAACACAAAAGCAGAAATGCTGCTTCCTTTGAGGGAAGCTCTGACAAACCTAAGGGAGGCTTTCCTTCGATTTCCATACCACACTTCTGTGATTTCCTGAGACTTTCAAGGAGAGATTAAAAGTGCCCATTGAGGGCCCGTGGCATGGCCTAGTGGCTAAAGTCCTCGCCTTGAATGCATTGGGATCCCATATGGGTGCCAGTTCTAATCTTGGTGGCCCCGCTTCCCATCCAGCTCCCTGCTTGTGGCCTGGGAAAGCAGGCGAAGATGGCTCAAAGCTGTGGGACCCTGCAGCCATGTGGCAGACCTGGAGGAAACTCCTGGCTCCTGGCTTTGGATCAGCATAGCTCCAGCCACTGGAGTGAATCTTCAGAAGGAAGGTCTTCCTCTCTGTCTCTCCTCCTCTTTGTATATCTGACTTTACAATAAAAATAAATCTTTTTTTAAAAAAAGTGCCTATTGAAGCAAATCTGGTGTTTATTTTGGAAGATTTATCTATTCAAAAGGCAGGTTATGGAGAGGGAAAGACAGGAGGAAGGAGGGCAGGAAGGGGAGTTAAGCGAGATGTTCCATCTGCTGGTTCCCTTCCCCCATGGCCTCAAGGGCCAGGCCAGAACCAACAGCCCAGAACTCCACGTGGGTGAGAGTCCTGCTTCTTCTGAGAGGGAAGACCAGAGAGCTGGATTAGAAGTGGAGCAGCCAGGAATTGAACCTGCACTCACATGGCATGCCAGCATCACAGCTAAACCCGCTACAAAACGCAGACTCCACAGCAAATGCAGTGATAAAGATGGCCAAGATCTGTTGAAGGATTGGATCCATCTTGAATGACAGAGCATTTAAAAAAGCTCATTCTCTATTAGGTGGACTAAGTCTAGAATGAATTTCAAAGAAAAACTGCTTCTCAAACCACATCCTTGCTTTTTAAAAAAAATATCTAATTTTCCCATTTACATAAAATGAATAGATTTTACATTTTTAAGCCAATTTAAAAGCAGAGGAGCTCCTCCCCACCTTTATACCTTTACTGCAACATTACAGATGATTTTTAAAGAATGAACATAAGGGCCCAGCATGGTAGCCTAGCAGCTAAAGTTCTCACTTTACACATACCAGGATCCCATATGGACGCTACTTCTAATCCCGACAGCTTTACTTCCCATCCAGCTCCCTGCTTGTGGACTGGGAAAGCAGTCAAGGACGGCCCAAAGCCTCGGGACCCTGAACCCATGTGGAAGACCCAGAAGAAGCTCCTGGCTTCTGGCTTCGGATCAGCTCAGCTCCAGCCACTGCGGCTCCTCGGGGAGTGAATCAACGGATAGATCTTCCTCTCCGTGTTTTCTCCTCTCTGTATAAACTACTTTACAATTAAAAAAATAAATAAATCTTTAAAAAAGAATACATATAAGCCTTGCATAAAAAGACTCCGGTAGCACTGTGTCCTCTTGGGCTGTTTATGTACTCTGTACATAACGCAAGCACTTCAAAAAGTCTGTGCAAAATGGAATCAAAAAGCCAGCTTGTTGTAGTATAAATTCTTAAAAATCCTTCCCCATCAAAATTAATTTATCTGTTTAATTTTAAGCTTTCTTGAAAGGCGAGAGAGGAGCCAGCACAATGGCTCTATTGGCTAATTTTCCATGTCGGAGCACCAAGCTCCTATCACCTGGGTGCTGTGCTGGCTGCTCCGCTTCCCATCCAGCTCCCTGCTGATGGCCTGGGAAAGCAGCAGAGGACGGCCCAACGCCTTGGGACCCTGCACCACTATGCCCATTTGGGGAGGGACTCAGCAGATGGAAGATCTTTCTGTCTCTCCTTCTCTTTGTAAATCTGCCTTTGCAACATAAATAAGTAAATAAATCTTACAAAGAAAAAGAAAGGCAGAGAGGAGAGAGAGGTCTCCCATCGTCTCGTTCTCCTCCCAAAAGCCAGGTTGGGCCAGGCCAGCGGCAGGAGCAGGGATCTGAGTGTTCCACTGCGGGGGGACCGAGCCACTTCAGCCCCCCAGAGTGAACCCCAGCAGGAAGCTGGAGACAGGCCCAGAGCCAGAACTTGAACTCAGTTCTGCTAT